GTTACTCCTTCTGTGAAATATCTCAAGGCTCTTTCCAACAATTAAATAGGCCAATCAAATGAACCCTTCCCCACCTCTAATTTACCTTCCACCTCCCTTCAGCTCCTCCTCCCCTCATTTTTTTTCTCTTCCCTAACTCCTTCCCTCCCCTCATTCTTCCTCACTGCTATTGTTGCTGGCTCTCTCATCTCTCTCCCTGTCATGCCTTCAGCATATGCTTATGCCATGTTCTTTGTTAGTTTATTATGCTATGGAATGTAAGGTAAATTGTAATATCGCCATCTAGTGGCTCTTTTGTATAATTACAGTTTTTTAGATTATTTTCTGTAGTTACACATTTTGTTGCTTAAAAGCCACCGTAGTTTTCCCATCATCCTATGGTCTTCACCATGAGGTCTTTGAGACATTTCCTAGCAGCCATCTTACATCTCATCCAGAGGACTCCACACTTATTCAGCTACAGTTCTGTCGTCACCCTATGTGAAACATTCCGGTATGTTTAAAACCCTTTCTAGCTAGACTAGTGTGTCAGGACTGTATATTTTGTATATTGTATACACTGATTGAATGTTATTTCTTTCATTTGTAGTTTTACTCTAACTCCCCTGCAATAAAAGTTGAAAAGAGGACCTAGCGCCTGCATCAATGAGTTGTTAAGGGAGGAGGGTTAGCTGTCTGTCTAATTATACCTCAGCCACGTATAGTGAGGGCAGAAGGCTCCACATCCATATTCATACCCTCTCCTGTGCCTATCTCCTGTGCACTGTGATCTTTTCCCTACCTGACCCTCACTATTCCCAGCATACAAATGCAACATAATATATTTCACAGTTAATGAAGCTTTTACTCTAGTTTCTGTTCAAAAACTATTCTAGATTTTTACAGATAGGGAGAGTTCAGAATATATTCATATTGTATTGTGTCATTTGTATTGGACTTCGTTTTCGTTTTTTCTTTACACAAAATATAATGCTGTGATATCTTACATACTTGTACCACTTTTTCTGTTGTGAAGTTACAAAATCTAGAAAAAGAATTTAAAAAAATAATGCTCATAGGACTTTACATTATTTTTAAAACTGTGCCTTATGCACACCTTTATGTTGTAAAAATGTGCATTTTATTGTGCATCCACCATACACAGCAATGGTACCACAAAACCACAGTTCGGTACCGTATTCATTTTTAATGGCACCTTAATGCATTTCCAGTGAACCATCTGTGTATTCTGATGTGTTAAAAGGTCCATTGTGGTGCATCAGCAGCTCCTTCAAAATAAATGGGCTTCCTTAGTGAATCATACGGTAACACTTGACGTAATGCACAATAACATGTATGTGGTAATGCACTGCAAAGGTCTTCGCCTGACTCTAATGGTGCTGTTGTTTTGTTGTTATTGCCATTGTTATTAGTAGTAGCAATACTATTATATCTTTCTCCATTATCTTAGGAAGATGAACAAGAAGAGAGTGAGTGTGAAGAGGAGGAGGAGGAGGAGGAGAGTGAGGAAAGTGGAGAGAGCGATGGTGGGTCTGATTCTGAACCTGAGGAAAAGGGTGAGAAATCATAGCTCAAATGAAGATATCACAATAAAGTTCATGATCCTTCTTCAGATAATCAGAGGCAACCTTTAGGCCTCATTCACATGGGTGTACTTAAGCATACACCCATACAAGGGCTGTGTTTGGTGCACAGGCTGTCTGTGCATCCCTGTGCAGGGAGTCCTATTCATGTCAGTTGGGATGCAGTGGCTTCATGGACACAGCTGCTGCTCCCAATTTGACATTTGGAATGGAGAAGCAGGTAATAGAACAGTTTCTGCACTCCACAAAACTTATGGATTTCCTCCACACATGCTTTCACACCAAAACTTGTTGTAAGCCATGTTGTTCTCAACAATGCAATAACAAAGGGGTACTCCAAAAGTGTAAAAGTGTAATATAGTCTTAGAAAGTTATTGATTAAAACATGTGCATAATATAAACTAACATTAAAAATTGCTAAACCATACCAATATGAATCAGTGTACATACTGTATATCTGCAAAATTTCAAAGCTGTGCTTTGTATGATACTCGCATCTCTCACTGCTCCCAGCATATCTGTTTGTTTGCATGTCTAGTTCAGCCTCTCTTCATGGAGCCACTAAACCATCTCTGAAACTCAATCTTCCAGGAACTCTTGGAGGAGATCTGGCAGACCTAACCTGTGAGATTGAGATTAAACAGCGCCTCATTGAAGAGCTGGAACAGAGTCAGCGTCGGCTGCAGACTCTGAAACTTCAGTATGAGGAAAAGCTTCAACAGCTGCAGAACCGCATTCGTGACACACAGCTGGAGAGGGACCGCGTGTTACGAGAGCTCTGTATGGGGTGTTTTCAAGTACTCTGCACCTTTCCTTTGACTGATTTTTCCATTTTTCATTTTACCTTTTCATACAGCAATCCCTTAACTTTGCTGTCATTTCACTATACCTAGACATATTGGGGTTGATTTACTAAAAGTGGAGCATGCAAAATCTGTTGCAGCTCCCCACAGAAACCAGTCAGCTTCCAGTTTTTTTTTGTCAAAGCTACAATGCACAGCTGCACTAGATTTTGCACTCCCCAGTTTTAGTAAATCAACCCCACTGCCATTTTTGTTGTATACCTGGTAAATATCAAAGTCATTGACTCCACAGGCACTATGGAATGTTATACAGAAGAGAAAGCTAATAAGATCCGAGCCGATTATGAGAAGCGCCTGCGGGAGATGAACAGGGACCTGCAGAAACTACAGTTAGCTCAGAGAGAACATGCAAGACTTCTCAAGAACCAGTCACGCTATGAGCGTGAATTACGTAAGCTACAGGGAGAGCTCAATGATATGAAAAAAGCCAAGGTGAGACAAAAGAAAAAAGGATTATGTAATATTCTCTCTGATTTATGTTTGAGATATGTTAATCCTAGCTGTTATGTTTATACTATATACCTTATATTGTTTAATCATCTCTGGTTTTGATTAAAGCCAACCATAGACGGTTTAAATCATCCAGTTCAGCAGGGCCTGACCAAGATTCGAACCATGTATGGGCAGGCTGAATGTATCCAAGTTGATTGATCGATTAACTTGGGTACAACCAGCCTGTCTGATTTTACATTTGACTTGCTAGCGACTATTACAGCTGCTAGCAGTAATCACTGTGTTCTCCTGGTGGGGACTAGGGATGGTCTGGATGTTCAAGTCAAAAGTAAGTTTGACTCAAACACATAAACAGTAAGGGCGCTCAGCGGGCTTTTCACCCTCTGAAGCCGAGCACCCCACAATGCACTGCGCTCCCAGTGCATTTTGAGCCATGAATGGCCAAAGCAATGTACCTGACCGCAGGTCAGGAGCAATGCTTTGGCCAATCACAGCACAATGCGCCGTGAGAGCCATAATTTGCCAAAGTCCACGCCTCACACTATATAAGGCTGCTTATAGTGCAGCCTTATGCAGTGTGTTGCTGCACACTGCTAATGACAGAGGTGAGAATAATCTCGAAAAAAAAATGCTAAAAAATAAATTAAAGCTAAAACAAAAAATAAATAAATAAAACCAGCGTGGGGTCCCTTTCTAATCCATTCCAGACCCTTTAGGTCTGGTAAGAAGGTTAGGAGGGACTCAGTAGTAAAAGATTTCTTTTAACGTTCGTGGGGTTTCCCCTAAAAGCCATACCCGGCCCTTTAGGCCTGGTAGGACTTTTAATGGGAAATCCACCCCCCAGAAATTGGGGGGGGGTTCCCTTAAATTCCCCTACTGGACTGTTGGTCTGAGCACAGGCCTGGCAAACAAGCCTAGCATAGGGATGAGGACCCCTCAATCTGGAAAGAATGTCAAAAACGGTTCTTTGCAGCCAAGGCTCCCAATTTCAGAGACTCTTTTTGCCAATGTAACTGCCACCAGAAAGACTGCCTTGATGGAGAGCTCCCTCACTATGGATGAACCAGCCGATTCTGGACGGCTCCAGAGAAGAAGTAGAACCTCTGAAAATCTTTTGCAGTGGGCACATGAAAGTAGGTGTCCTTCAGATCCATAGACAGGAGCCAGTTGCCTGGTTGAATTGCTTGCTGAATTTTCCATCTCCATTCAATCTCCATCTTGAATTTTGACTTCCTGTTTAGATGGGTAAGATCTATGACAGGCCTTCAAGCCCTATATCTTTTATGGACCAAAAAGGGGCGAATACATGCCGTGAAATTCTTCAACCTCTGGAAACGGCACCCTGTAAAGTACATAGTCCACGTAGAACAGCAGGATTTGCCTCCTTTCTTTAGAATGTGGAAGGGCCGTAGGGATGGGCTCTTAATCGCCCAAGCATGCTCTGAAGATACAGTGCCAACGGCCCAGACGTCCCGGATTGAAGCCTGCCAGACATGCTGAAAATGGCGAGGGGGGCCCCCACCTGGCCTGCCTGAGCGGGTCCAGTCTCAAAGGACGTAGTATCCCCATGCCCTCCAGAGGTCAAGCCCTTGGAGGACTTCTGAAAAGATGTCTGGCTTCTCATCCAGCTTCTCTTGAATTTGCGGCCCGGCATGTGTCCCTTGCTCATTCCAAGCCTTGACTTCTGGGCTGATCCCTCTTCTGGCCTAGCAGATGCTGATCCTGGGGCAGGAAACTGGACTTCAGTCAGTAGCCCGGGCTATAGCCCTGTCTAATTTGTTCCCAAATAGGGAGGAATCCTCAAAAGGAATCTTGCACCATCCCTTCTTAGAGGCAGGATCGGCCAACCAGGGCTGAAGCCACAACGCATGTAATGGGCACAAGGCGGTTCTCTCGTCCTCCGTACGTCCATACGACGTCCGTACGTCCATACGACGTCCCCATTTTAACCGCGCATGCGCGGCTCTGAGCGCATGGCGATCGGTGGTGCGCTGTGTCCCTCGGACACAGCGGATCACCGATCAACAGAAAGAGCCGAAGATGTTGGCTCGGTCATGTGATCAGCTGTGTCCAATCACAGCTGATCACATGTAAACAGGGAAATGCCAGTTATTGGCATTCCTCTCCTCATGAGCTGTCACGCTGACAGCTCGTGAGGAGAGGAGAGCCGGTAATCGGCATTCCTCGGAGGGAACATGTAGACTGATGATTAGTGTGCCCTGATGATCTGTGTAGCCCCAGCATTGCCACCTGTTAGTGTCCATCAGTGCCAGCTGTCAGTGCTCATCCATGCCACCTGCCAGTGCCACATCAGTGCCTACCGGTGCACATCAATGCCACATATGAGTGCCCATCTGAGCTGCCTTTCAGTGTCACCCATCAGTGCCAGTCAGTGTCACCTATCAGTGCTGCCAATCAGTGCCACCTATCAGTGCCAGTCACTGCCGCCTATCAGTGTGCATCAGTGCCGCCTATCAATGGCAGTCAGTGCCACCTATCAGTGCTGCCTATCAGTGGCATATATGAGTGCTGCTTTTCAGTGCCCATCAGTGATGCCTGTCAATGCCCATTAGTGCCACCTACCAGTGCCTCCTCATCAGTGCCCATCAGTGCCACCTATCAGTGTCCATCAGTGCAGCCTATCAGTGCCCATCACTGCAACCTCATTAGCGCACATCAGCGAAGGAGAAAAATCACTTATTTGCAAAATGTTATTACAAAAACTAAGAAAAAACTTTTTTTGTCAAAATTTTCTGTGGCTTTTGGTTTGTGTAAGAAAAACAAAAAAAAAAAACGCAGAGGTGATTAAATACCACCAAAATAAAGCTCTATCTGTCACAAAAAAAATGCTAACAATTTCATATGGGTACAGTGTTGCATGACCGCACAATTGTCACTCAAAGTGTGACAGCGCTGAAAGCTGGAAATTGATCTGGGCAGGAAGGGGGTATAAGTGCACTGTAGGCTAGTGGTTAAAGGAATTTTTTGTTATTTGGGGTTTTTTTTTTACTTTAAGAAATGAAAAATGACTGCTCTTTAAAAACATTACTTCTTTAAATTTTTTTTCAGTGATTCATATCCCTCCAGAGCAGTACCTGAGTCCACATACCCAATTTCTGGCCAATAACTTGCATATAAGCCTTCAAAATGGGCAGTTTTGAATTACGTTCCAAGTTCGCGGTTGAACTTTTGTTATGTTCGAACGTTCGACTGTGAACCAAACACAGGGGTGCTCAGTCCATCACTAGGGAGGACAGCCCTGCCCGAGTGATTCCCCCATCAACACTGACTGTGTTGATGGTGGAATCGAGCGATTCCATGGTTGCAGGAAAAAAATAGCTCTGTCTATGGCTGGCTTAAGTCAGGATTATTTCTGTTATTCTGTATTGTTCTTGTAGCCAGTGTAATTACTTGCCAGTAGAAAGGATGAAATGATGTTTTTAAAATTGTGCCCTATTGTTCTTTTAGGCAGTACTAGTGAAACAGATGCGTGAGGAGCAGCAGCGAAGAAAACTTGTGGAGTCGAAGAGGAATCGAGAGATTGCACAGCTTAAAAAGGAGCAGCGTAGGCAAGAGGTGATAGGAGCTAAACATACATGAGGATGATATAAGTGAAATAAAATTATTCAAAAGAAATGATGCCTAAATCTGGGTTAATTTATATTTCCTCTTCAGCTTCAGATTAGAGCACTGGAGTCACAAAAAAGGCAGCAGGAAATAGTCTTAAGACGTAAGACTCAGGAGGTTAGTAAATTGCTTTAGTATAGTTTTATGCAGTCTCTTTTCTCTAAGGGCAGCTTGACACTGCAGGTTTCTGCATACCAAGACCACAGAACGTCATAGTCTATGGGAAAGCGTAGCTAACCCACACAAAAATCAGGGATTAGCTGCCCTTTAGCAAAAGTGCAGTGAGGCATTGTAAAACTACCCATACATGGGTCAGTTTTTTTCAAACTGACCGATTCCCCCATGCACACATTCAGTCTGAATGCTGGAATCCTCTGTACTCTGCCTTTGTATTATGACAGCAGGAAGACTTCTCCAACTCCCTCTGTCAGAGTACACTGATCAGCGCCACAGCTTATTGGCTGCAGCGCTGATTGAAGTTAAATTTTCCAGCAGTCCTGTTCGTGAGAAGTCAGTTGATAAAACGATTTATCACGAACAGGAACAACCATACATGGATCAAAATTCAGCCAATTTCTCATGAACAGGACTGCTGGAAATGTTCACGTTAATCAGCCCTGCAGCCAATTCTAACAGTGGAGAGGTTGGGGAGTCTCTCTGCTGTCAGAATACAAAGGCAGAGTGCAGAGGATTCCTGCATTCACACTGAATGTGTGCATGGGGGAATCGGGTCAGTTTGAAAAACACTGGCCCATGTATGGGCAGTTTTAGTACAGTTTCTATATTGTGCTTCAAAATGGTGGCTGCACTAGTTTTTCTTTTATTGGGCTAAGTATATTTTCTGTAAGTACAGAAAAATAACTTGATTGTGCAAGAAAACCAATGTCTTTGTAACTTTCTATGCATTGAACTGGTATGCCAAACAGCTTTAATCTGTGGACTACACCCCCCCAGATAATGCAGATGGAGAAGTGAGATTGTAGGGCAGTGATAGCGAACCTTTTTGAGCCTGAGTGCCCAAACTACAACACAAAACCAACTTGTTTATTTCAAAGTGCCAACACTGCAATTAAACCTGAATACTGAGGTTTTAATTTTAGAAAAAACAACTTATACAGTTGTCCGAACTAATTGACATATTTTGTTTTAAAAGCAAAATACAATAACAGAGCTTTCAATGATACAGTTTTTTATTGAAAAAAACATAATTTCTACATGTGCATCTATTTTTCCAAATGACTCTGTCCAGGCCTCTTCTTCCACTATCTGTTTTCAGTTTTGCTTTTTTTGCTGTGCTCATTTTTTGGTGTTCAAAACTTGAAAACTAGAAAAACACAAAAAAATAACAAAAGTGATTTACTAACTCCACCCATATATGATATGCCTGTAAATGTCTGTACGAGAGCAACTAACATTTTTGTAGACAGATATAGGCATTGCCATAGTCCAGTGTCCTGTGGAACAACAAGGCGCGCTGTTCCCGGGTACGAAATACTCATGGATTCCGCTGTGCCACAGGTGACACTGCTCTGCTGGGTCTGGAAGCCGGCTGTGTATGTGAAGGATCCAGAACAGAGGGCTGGAACGCTCAGAAGCCAGGTGTCAGGCACGAGCTTTAACTTTGTTCCGAGGGTGCGCATTGGCGATGGGTGCCGGGGGGGGTAGAGATCCGCTCAAGTGCCCACAGAAAGGGCTCTGCATGCCAGCTGTGGCATTTGTGCCATAGGTTCGCCATCACTGTTGTAGGGTGACAATACTGCTGGTCCTAGGTGCCGTACAGGGAGTAAGGCAGCCCATAAATGCTTCATTTGTTTTCGTTCAAACAGTGAGTTGAACAAAATTCCCTCATCCACACACTTGATGTGGATAAGGGACTCCTCCCTGGTGAGCCTTTGCATTCATACAGCAGGGAGACTTCCCCACCGTCAAAATACACTGATCGATATGTAAAAAATGCAACAGGCTGGTTGTACAGAAATCAGTTGGTAGATCGATATCCGTACAACCAGCATTCTCATACATGCACTGAAATTTGGCCGGTCCCTGCTGAACCGGACCAATTCCAATCCATGTTTGTCCGGCTTAAGTGTTGTCATGTTAGGAAGGGAAGTGTGTTACTGGCTGGATCACAAGGTAGAAATAAAGGAACAAAGCCTGAAAAAAGAAAAGTCCATATAAAATTTTTGAGCTTTCATTAGATCAGGGATTCAGTCTAAAACAAACGTTTATAAAATGTTAAAATGTTTATCTTAAGGCTTAGTTTTCAGTGCCAGAATTCAGCACAGTAGTTTGTGGCACAGAGATTTTGTTGAAAAAAGCACATAAAAATAAAACCGTGCACCTACAGTATGTGTTCCAGACAACTAAAGCTACATGTTCACTAGCTTACCCTGACCACTGCTGTGGGAAAATGCAAAACGCAGCAAAAACACGTGTGAATGCGGTACTGCAGTTTTTGTTGTATTTTGCATCTTCCTGCAGACAGAAGTCGAAACGGTCCTATCCTGAATGCAATTCTTCTGCATTCAGGAGAGGGAAGCTTAAGTTCACCTAAACTCTGCTAAAAGCCTATGCGTACATGAACACACAAGCTTTTATGGAGTTGGGTTTAAGAGCTTTGAAAAAAAAAAGCGCCAAAAGTTCCTAAACTCAAGTTTATGAGTTGCCAGTGTACATGAAGCCTAAGGGTCCACATAAAAAAAATGCCAGAGAAAAAAAGATGCTCATATAGAGCATTTTGTACAGGTGTTAAGGAGCATTCAGTACTTTTTTTCTACAGGAAAACTGCTCTCAAAAACACAAAACAGAAGGGTTTTTTTCTGACTCTAAACTCTGAGTTTAAAATATACCTCTAAATGTCTTAATGTGCATGGACACATAGGATTACAATGAGCTGCTTCTACAGGCAAAACGCTAAACTCTTCTAGAAGCAGCATTCTTTTAAGCCAGTGTGTATGGACTGTCAGGTAGGGACAGGGATACGTGTTAAGATCTCGATAACAGGTAATGATGATACGAAGATCAAACCCTACAATTACCATTTAACTTCCTGACATAATTGCTTACTACTTGTGAATGATCAGAGGTCACATGGTACAAGGCTATTTACAACAGCCTTGTACCATGTGACAAGCTGTGACCAATCACAGCTCTCACAGTATTTCTCTCTGGCTGCAAGAATGCAGCCAGAGAGAAGGAAAAATTATTGCTTTTATAGCTTTTATGAGTGTAAAAGTAATCAGTGTAAAAAAAGAAAAAGAAAATCTTCATCACACCCCCACAAGTAGTACAGTGTCACTATGGGTGACAGTATGTTCACAAAAAAACCCCCAAAAAAATAAACATGTAAAACAAAAATTAAATTATAATTTTTGGTTATAAACTAATTTGGGTTATTTATTTATTTTTTACTAAAAAGATAGATGGATACATTTTGGCCAAGACTTATGAAGAAATAAAATTTTGCAAAATAATCTAAGAAAAACACTTTTTTTTTCAAAATGTTGAGACTTTTTCATTTATGTAGCAAAACAATAAAAATCCCAGTGGTGAATAAATACCACCAAAATAAAGTTGTATCTGTCTCCAAAAAATGCTAAAAAATTCATATGGGTACAGTGTTGCAATTGTCATTCAAAGTGTGATAGCACTGAGAGCTGAAAATTGGCCTGGACTGGAAGGGGGTGAAAGTGTCCGGACTTGAAGTGGTTAATAAAGGAAACCTTTATTAAGGAGCTCTCTTCTCCCTTTGTAAAATGTAGTTGCATGGCTGTCACCCTAACCTTATTGTTTCTAGTATTTTGAGCCATTTGTTTGGAACAAGTATGCAGATATGTATGCCTTTTTCCTGATTTGTATACTTGTTTCATGTCAGTCAGTTGGAAAGTCTAAGAAAATAGCATTGCCAAAAAAGGGTCTACAATGGCAGTCCCCA